TTCCCCTTTCCTTTTTTTTCTTTTCAACCACATAACCGTAATTCTAACCTATACTCGTAACGAAAGATGGCGACACTATCGAGCGTACAATTACATAACGCTCGTAAGCTTTCAATCAAAATTCTATCTACGCATCCACCGTACTAACTACATACATATACATACATATATATATACCTGCAACGTTGAAACGATCCTCTCGATGTACGATGCATACAAAGGCTTAATAATTTCGGCAATTTCTACGCTTTACCCCACAACAGGTCTATTCACCAATTCAAAATATAGATCGATAATATCAAAGTGATACACCCATGTTCGTTGAAATTCTTTCTCCGTAACAAGAGTACGAATAGATCTGCGTGTCGTGCAATACTATCTGTATGCGAAAATGAAAAATTACCGAACGGAACTGAACTTCAACGTTTCGGGATACGTATATGTACATATGAAAGTGTATACTTTTGCCGGAAAATTCTGTGATTTTATCATTGGCGTTCAAACATAGGTCAACGCAGTTAACGTTCGATGTACGTATAAATGTACGTCGTTAACGTATACATACATATACTATATTCACAGTTGTTTTGTAGGTTATCACCGGACTATGATACATATTGTACATACAGTGACCGGTAAATGTGCTCTTCTAGAAAATGATCATTTATTCACATATTGCGTTACACGTATCAGTTTTGCATTTATTTTACTTTAACAAACTTGTAACAATCTTATTATATCCTATTTAATTTGCTAGTTATTCAGTTTTTCTTCCGACTTAATTTTGCACCACATCTTAGTGTACATAGATGCTATCGGATCAAAGTAAAAGAAGACTTGCATGGTGTTTCAGAAGAAGCAAAGTCAACAACAATGGCACAAAAGTTATTAGGAAACTATGTAAGTGTACATTGCAGCAAATGAAGAACATAAAGAGCTGTGAAAGAAATTAATTTTAAGGCAACTGAGAAGAAGAAAAAGTCCATTTTGTCTAACAAAACTGTTAAATTTGGTAGTGGATCCCTTATGTTACAGAGTTGTCTTGCAGCATACGATACAGGATCACCGAGCTGTATAAGTGGAAGAATGAACTGATACATGTACAAGGAAATTTAAAAGGAAAAATGATGGGAAATTATAGATAATATGCCCTTTGAAGAAAGTAACATCATTTTCCAGCACGATAGAGATCCCAAACATATGGGAAAAAGTGTATAAAATTGGTTGGAATCCCAATCGTATCAAGCTCTAGACTGACCAACACAAAGTCCAGATCTACCAAAAATCTGTGGGCAATACCGAAAGGACAATTGCAAGATGCATATCATTCCCCACCGTCTCTACTTTTGGTCAATAATGGGAGAAGTATATATATATAAAAATAAATTCTCATTTTCTAGAAGAGTACATTTATAGGTTTAATTTTGCTCCTCGTTGTATGTACATATGTATGTATGTACTACACATCGAACAAGTATATTCATAATACGACTGCTAACGCTTAAATGCGATCATGATATATTAGACAGGTTATATAATAAATGACTACTGAGAGCGAATTAAAAATTACTTTCTTCTCTTCCACTAGCCCGGAACATTCGAAATAAATATAAATTTACCACTGCTGCTTTCGACGTGGATAAAAACGTATCCATGATTTCTTACTATAGTAGTAGACTTGGATTTATCTTACACAGGACAACTATGGTTCAGTTTCGTTCTCGGCCTGTGTCTCGGAAATATTCGGGCTCAATCGAGAATCCTCGGTAACGTACGAAAATTACCGAGATCGAACGACACAAACTGACAGTAATGTCCGCGACCGCTTCTTCCACCGTTTTGCCGATCGGTTTTGTACTCGTGGCACCATGCGAAATACGCTGGTATTTACACATTTCTTTTACGTTCGATCGACGCGATTCTTTTGATCCAACGCACGCCTACACAGTTTACTTTCGATAGTTTCATTGCGAGCATTTGTTCTCATTTTCATCTATCCGCATGAACATCGCGTCGTGGTTGTAACGCAAAATGTATTTTAACGTTCGATTAGCGTTGTAACATTAGCCCTGATTCGATAGTGATATTGGTAGAAGAAATACAAAATGCGATCCGCGGCGAGGTCAAGTACCATAAGGCAACCAAGCGCTTGGAAACTAATTTTCGAAAGGACGAGATTCGAAAGTATTTCCTCCATGAAGGTGCAGTAGTACATAATAGATTCGTCCACTTTTCCTGCCTTTATTTTCTCCTTGTTCAGCACCTTTCCTTTTTACATACATAAATACGTTTGCTTGCTTGTTTGTGTCTCTCTACCTGTCTGCCTGCCTACCTGCTTGCTTGCCTACCTGCCTGGCCATGCTAACGTGTAGATTTTCTAACTTTCGTTGCACGTTGTTTTTGTCGCTGCGAACAATCGAGCAGATTTTTTCCGTTCGTTGAAAATATGTACATACAGCATCGGTATATACAAGTGATCGAATGGGAATCGGAGGGAAAGTAAAATTACGTGTGAGCGGAGGCGACAGAGGATGAAGAAGAGGAGGAGGAGATAAGCCAGGGCGGGAGTGTAGGAGTAAAAAGGCGCAAGGCGCACATGAAGGAATAGGTTAGAGATTTACTCTTAAACCGGACATGGCAGGCGTGTTTCGTAAAATTGGTAATCGAGCGTAGACTAGCCAGTTTTGCACGTTTCTTTCTTTTTCTTTCTCCTTCTTTCCTGAAATCGGGGTTACTGTTGTGTTGTCGATGAAATGACATAACAGGCGAAAAGCTACGTCAACACGTGTCATCACTAACCGTCTTTACTTTATTGACAGATAAGAACAGAGAAAAGTACGTGATCACGTGGGAAAACGTGGGAGAACGTGGGTGGTGTAACCGTGGACGGTTGTCTTCCGAGATGCGATTCAACAAGCAAGAATTGCTGACCTTGGCCACGCAACCTTCGCAGAAATTCGAGAAAGAGGGTATATTGTACGTACGCGAGCGACAAGAAGGCTTCTTTCGCAGAACTGAGAGTGAGTGATTCAATCCTTGGCAAATAGAAAATCGATATTCGCGCGATTGATCGCCCATACTCTTTTTAATCGATTAATTGTATATGTATTTTACTGCTCCGGTCGACGCATGTTTCTTCCTCATCTAAATTGTACATGTTCTGATCCTTGAAAATAAACTCACGTGATACGCAAATTCTTCGTCTTGTATTTAATGTAGAGCCAGCCCATCATCCGTGTTCCAAAATAGTATGATTCGCTCGCGTGCATGATGTACATTTCCACGTAACTAGAATAGACGCTCGTCTATATTCACCGATCTTGGCGAGGCTATCGCCATCGCCGTCATCGCCGCTGACCCTGACGCTGCCACTACCACTGCCACTGCCACTGCCACTGCCACAACTGTCGTATCGTAGCAGAAGCGGATTTAACGTTGTTGACAAAAATCGACGAACCGACGAGCGTCATCAACTCGTGCTCTTTTAAACACGCAACGCGGATTAAAAACTTTTTCCCGCCGAGTACGAAGAATTTGTCGAGTTCTCGTGTAAACCTGACATGTATAGGGTGTGTCGAAGCTACGAAACATCCCGAATCCTCTACGTACGTACGTTACGGTGACCTGAAAGGAGGAGAAAACGAAGAAAGAAAGAAAGAAGGAAAGAACACTATACATACATATGTATGATATTTTATTAGGAACGATTCTGTACGGAAAGTGATACGGATTGAATTTGTGAGGACGATATCGCGAATCGAAATATGTACACCATAAAGACTCTTATCTACGATGTGTACCGTGAGCGATAATCAAATCGAACGTTAAATCCTGATAATCCTAACTAATAGAGCTTCTTTTACGATTTATCAGACTGCAAAACGATAACACGTACGTGAAGAGTACTAGATTACGAATTCGGGATGTCGCATAGTTGTAGGAACACTCTGTATAAAGATACATTACATATGTCGCATTTTATCCAACAGCCTAGATTCGTTGTAGCTTGTGTACTTTCGAGTTTGTAGAAATCTTCTCAAACATGTTACTTTTTTTCTTTTTTATCTCTTTGCCCTCGTCTTTCTTCGAAACATTCTTCTAGTGAATGTCGTAAGCGCGAACCGAGCATGCCGGGGTTCGAATCTGTGACGATCGACCAAACTTTTCGTCGGACGTGTGCACGACGGTTGTCCAAGGATTCCAAACGTGTCGGAAAGGAAGACTCTTGAAGAGATAAGTGTAGTAAAGCGCGTCACGATTCCGATTAAGTACACACAGACACATGTACTTACTTACACGTAGAAAGAAAGAAGACGTAAGTTAAGCAAAGCAGCAGCGAACACTAAACAGACAGACAGACAGACAGACAGACAGACAAGCAGACAGAAAGATACCCGTGAATACGCGTTAGCAGAAGCCACGTCCGACTACGTACAGTTCATTTTGGAGCACGTTAAAAGCTAGCTGTAGCTACGTATAATTTGCAGGTACAGGTAAAAAATCTGACAACAAATGTCAAAAGGGAAAAACGCATAAGACTCTGCGAGACCTCAGTTGTGTTACAGCCAGTACGAGTAAAGGTATATTCGAGTTTTTTTGTTTTCCTCATTTCCAAACGAAATACTCTCTCTCTCCTTCACTGTCTTTCAATGCTCGCGATCTATCGCGATTAAACACGCTTATCGTTGCGCGCAAACTGGACCGAATCGTGCGTGATACCTTTCTCGAAGGCTTATACCTTTCTTCTTCGGATCGCACGCGCTTGTCTCGAAACTCTCTTATATGTATGCATATAAGGCAAGGCAAAAGTCAGAGCAAAATTCTCGAGCATGAACCAACCTGATACGATATCCTAATTAAGAATTATTTCATTACCGGCATGTGGTATTCTTTCTCTCAACGTTCGTAGTATGTACATTGCACGATTCGCATCGTTGTCCTTTTTCTCTAGTATAATATGTACCTATCCGTTAGAAAGGTAGACGCATGCTCGTTGAAAACTACACTGCCGCAAAAAATGATCGTGTAAAGTTTTACCGCTCGTTTGCACGTATACAAACAGATATTCCATTGGGGCGATTCGACACAGTCTTTCACCTTTCTATAGGAGTCGTCTGCTGCTATGTACATATCTTTCATCATTTTTCTCCCGCCTCCTTTCTATGCTCCTCTTCCCGTCAAAGTTAACCCATATGTATAAGATTTCCGATAAAGATTCCAACGAAGGCGACGAAGAAATAACGCACGGTTGTACTTCTTCTCTGTGTTGGATAGTAAGTTTGGAGAGATGGTGCAGATTACGGGGGAACCTGTTGTTTTATTTCAAGTCGCGGGAGCAATGGTCCGAGCCCCTTGGAGTGATAATACTCGAACAATGTTTCGTTCGAGTGGAGCAACCGAGCAATCAGATCCCTTATGGATTCAGTATAGGTAAGCGAACGTAAACGTAGCGCGCGTAATATCTGACGACTGATCGAAGGAAACGAGCGAGCGAGCGAGCGAGCGAGCGAAGGGAAGTTGTTGTCTGTTGGACGTGTTATTTTAGTTTTCGACGGAGGTTTATTCCAAGCGTTGGGTGCAAACTCGGCTGAAGAGAGGGACAGTTGGTTGCAGGCTCTTCAGCTGGCCAGCTACGAATGTATGCGAAGTCAATTATTGGCGTTGCAGCAGCGAATAGAAGCGTTCAGTGGGCACAAACACGACACCGATATTCAAATGTTGCGGCTGCAACGTGGAGTTTCAACAGGTTCTATCTTCTTCTTCTTCCTCCTCCTCCTTTTCTTTCTGTTCTCCGTTCCGGTGGTCTGTTTCAATTATTGCTCGTTGCGGGCGTGCGGTGCTCGTACACGTTACGTTGTATCCTTCGTTCACAGGCGTTGTTTCTGATCGGTTCGTTGCTTCAGACCCCGCCGAAATACCGATGTGCGAGATATCGTTGGCATGCGACAACCTCCTCTGTGACGGTCACGGCCGACCACCTAACCCTGTTCTAGAGATAGACGTGCAAGTTAAAGGTTCCAAGACATGGATAAAGTACGCGCGGACCGAGGTAGTGGAGGTAAGTAAGCTTCATATTCGTTAATCGTATCATATTTCATACGAATTCTCCTCCGTTCCTTGGTTCGTTTCACAGCGAAGCAGCAATCCCGGCTTCCTCACGACCGTCAGCTTCAGAGCGAGCGACGGTTTGACCAGCGAGGAGACCAAAGTTAGGATAACCGCGTTCGACGTTAGGGAGCGCGTAAGTCAAACTGCGACACCGATCGGCAGCGCGATCGTAACGTTGAACGCCGTTCAAGATACCCCGAGGTATGTATAATAATTCCCCTTCCCCTTCCCCTTTATCGACGAGAACGAACAACATGATCATCGATACCATTTTAGGCTGAGGATACCGTTGAAATCGGCGAAAACGACCACCGTCGGCTTTTTAACCATCAATGTTTGGAACTTAGAGGCAGAGGACAGGGGAAACAGTACCGAGAGCACCCCGTCGAAAGAGCCTCTTTCCACGGCGAACCATCAGGTTATAACATACATACATGCGTCACATCCCCTTCCGGCTGGTTCTACGCGTTTCTTCACTTCTTCCTTCTCGCACAGATCCTCTCGCACAGACGATCCCAATCGTTGCCACCTAGACTGGGAACGAAGATCAAGTTGCCGCATCAGGGACAGTTGAAGCTCTTGTTCTCCAATCCGTACATACAAACGTACAGGTATTCCGTTCTCTCCGCTCTCTGCGCTCCTCCTCGCGGATCACATTTTTCCTGCACTCGCCTTTTCTTCTTTCAGATTTCACTCCGGCTTGGGTGGAGATATTTGCGTGCATGAAATCATGGCAGAGAGTAAACTTTGTTTCCAATTCCCGCAGCATTTACTGTGAGTAATCCGCCATTCTACTCCAAGTAAGATCGTTCGATTTCTGCTTTACTCGAAATTTACATCTTTCCCCTCCCCTCTCGCCCTCTAGCGCAATATGGATCCAAGAGGAGAAAGAACTGCTACAAGAAGTGGCTGGTATGGGCGAACTGAGGGAGCCTTGGCATACCAAGCAAGTGGAATTGCTCGATCGTCATCTTCATCTTTTACACCTGTACTCGCAAGCCAAAGAGAATTTGTCGACTTTCAAAGGTAATTCGATCGAATCGGATTGGATATTTGAAATGCAAAGTAAACCGCAACTCGTACGACTGACTAACCAATCAAATTCTCTCCACCTACAGGAAGTTATTTCAAGCGATCGTCGCGTAGAAACGACAGAACGCTCGAGTTCGCACCTGTTAATTTGCATCTTCAAAGAATGTGGGTTCATAACGATACGTTGAACAAATGCGGATTTTACGACTTCATTACCGTCGGAGCATTCACCGCGCATTCCCATAAGAGTAAAAACGGAGGCCTCATAAGGTATGTAATGTACATATGCTAAAGTAATGCTAAAAGTAATATGGGATCGAATTTGATCGATAGAGGTTAGAGCCCGCGAATACAGCCGGAAAGAGAGATGGACAATGGGGTAATATGTTTCAGGTTACTGCAAGCTTTAAAAGAGTCGCCAACGCGCGGCAATCAGCTATATCAGGGAACGTCGAAAATAACGATGGCGCATGATGCAATCCAGGCGATAAAGCAACTTCGACGAGATATTGTCGAAGCGATGCGCGCCCTGATGAAACTAGCCAAAGACAAACAGACCAGTGGGATGCTGCCCATTTGCGAAGATATGATCACCAAGACTAGAATTTTGCTCAGCCTTTGGGATCCAGGTTTGGTCGAGGAAGCGTTAACTTTTCTCGAAGAATACAAGGTGGCCAAGGTTCACGAGGCCACCAACAGCGACGATTCTCTCAATTTCGACTCGAAGACGAACCAATCTGGTTTGTCTCCGTTCAAACGGATCACGCAGCAGCTCAATTTCGACCTGAAAAGTCCAGACTTTGACGACTTTGTCACACCCGATACTCCAGAATGCGTCAAGGATCTATGGACGAAAGAAAACGAGAAAAATGATTACGCGACCGTGACCGCGACCGCGACCGCGACCGCGACCACCACGTCTTCCTCTTCCTCCTCGTCCTCCACCTCGTCATTGTTTCCGTCAAAAGGTGACGTCGTCCACCACCTGAATCACACGCAATCGAATTGCGTCGCTACCAAGATCGACAATGTCGCCGAAACGGCGACAAAGGAAAATTTTCCCACCTTTCCAAAAGTCAAAAACGATACCAAAGATTTGAAAAGTGGAGGTGGTGGTTGTGTGGAAACGACTCGTCACGATAATGGGAATAACAAAGGTTCCCTCAACGATACCAATAACGTTATTACCACGAAAGAAGAAGGAAAAGAAGAAGAGGAAGAAGAAGAAGAAGAAGGAGACGAAGAACCAAAGGACGTGGAAGGGAAAAAAGCGGAGGAGGAGGATGTGAAGAAGAGTGATATCGATCCGTGTAGACGTTTTCTAGACACACAAAAGATGTGCAATTCACCGTCTGCCAATTATTACAAACCCACCGACGAACCTGAACCCTGGGATCTGACGCAACTAAATATCGAAGCGAGCGTAATGTGTTTAGTGTCGAAAGTGAAATTTCTCTGCGGAAGGTGCAGCAGCCCGGCTGTACGGCTTCGGAATAAAAACAGCATAGGTAGATCGCACAGTTTAAGAGGATGCGTTTCGAGCAGTCGTAACAAAAGTGGGCAAGTGGTGACGATTCAACCGAAAAACGGGCTGAGAAACGACGCAAAGAACGAAGAATCTTGCAATCTACTCGAAATGGCGGAGAATCGGTCGAATTCGGTTCGGCAACAACAGCCGAGTCCAAGTTCGGAGAAAGCGACGATGATGCCAGCCTTTTCGAAAGCCAAAGAAGGTGAGTAAAGCGTGTGTATAGTAGAGGAAGGAAGAGCAAGAAGAAAAGTGATTTTTTCACGGAAACACAACGATGCGATTTATCACGTTTCAAAGTGTGCCAAGCGGTCGACTCGATGACGAGAGTGATTAAAAGCAATTCGGGACAAAGGAACAAGTTCACCGAGGGTCTGGATTTCGCCTCTATCGTCGATTGGACGAGCGAACTTCGACCTTCGATGAAAAAATTACGGCAAGCCATGGATGGTTTGTTGAAAACCGCTCGACTCACGCATTCGGTGTTTAGGGTGCAAGAAGACGCGAAGATGGCTCAACGCGCCTGTAACGTTCGATACAGGCGAGACGTGTGCTTCAGTCAAGCGGTAAGTATTTCAACGCTTCTGCTCCTTCTGCTTACCTTTAATACATGACTTTTTATACACGATCCTTTCGCCCAACATATTGCGTTCGAGCAGTTGACCAGCTTGGTATCGGGATTGATGGCCAAGCTTTGGTGTCAAAGACCCGATCCGATGTTTCTTTTGATTTTGACAACTCTTGGCCCGTTGGTCTCGTTCGAAGGGCTTCTCAGTTACTACGGCGACGAGATAGACATGTGGGGAGACATGACCGTCGCGGTAGAGGATATGCATACGGTGACTTTCACGTTGACCAGATGCGGCATTCAACCGAGGTAACTATTCTTCTTCCTTTCTTCTTTCCTCGGTTCCAAGTAACTACGTTTCTAACTGCTACAAGCTCGCACTACTACCAATTTGAAAATGGGCCAATTGTTCACAGGCTCGAGGGAAACTGTAACGTGCCATTTCAACAGCCGTTGCCTAGGGTACTTGGTTCTCGTACAGCGTTGACGGTCGTACTTCCTGTGCCGGACGCAATCTATTCCCTCCTACCGTTAGTCCCCTCTTCCAGGCAGACCATTTCTTTCAACGTCACTCCCGTCTTCTTCAACGTCGGTATCAACGAGACGGCCTCCCTGGCGGAGAGCCTCGGTACCACGAAACCTCAGGAAAAGAGCAATATGGACAATTTCGAGAGACTCAACGAGTATTACTTGCGATTCAAGAAGCTCAATCTACCAACGGAAACGTCCTCAACTCGACGTAAGTCTCTTCTCTCTCTCTCTCTCTCTCTCTCTCTTGCTCACATTCTCTCTGACTGATTGTTTGCAGTGGGCGCAAGATCACCGCTCGGTCAAACGTTAGCCGAGTTAATAGCTAACCTGAAAGCAACCGTTCAGACCAAAGTAAACAAGAACGTGGAAATCTTGCAATTATCGTCGAAAATTTGTCGAAGAATGCGCGGTTTGAGGTTCACTAGCTGTAAAAGTGCAAAAGATCGTACTGGTATGTCGATCACGCTGGAGGAGGTGAACATCTTGACCGACGAGTATCATCTGGCTGAACACGAGTACACCAGAGCCATCGACTGCATGCGAAGGTAGAGTAATTCTACCGTACATCGATCTCGTCCCTCTTTTTGGAATCCAGCTACAAAGGCTAATGTCCTTTCTTGTTGGTTGCAGCGAAGGGTGTCGACGGGAGAATACGTGGAAAAATATCGGAATTCGGAAATATGCGTTCAACAGCCTGCAAATACTGACATTTCCGAAACTGTATCGTCCGCCGACCGGAACTTATGGATCGGCACAAACTTAAGGAAAAGTTTCCTTAGTAACAAACGCATAATTCTTCCAGCATTGATTCCACGTGATATCAATACGACGGTATACA